GAGGAGGCTGCAGAAGTCACGCCGGCTGAGGAGGCCGCAGAAGTCACGCCGGCTGAAGAGGTTGCGGAGGTCGCGCCGGCTGAAGAGGTTGCGGAGGTCACGCCGGCTGAAGAGGTTGCGGAGGTCACGCCGGCTGAGGAGGCCGCAGAAGTCACGCCGGCTGAAGAGGCCGCAGAAGAGGTTGCGGAGGTCACGCCGGCTGAAGAGGTTGCGGAGGTCACGCCGGCTGAGGAGGCCGCAGAAGTCACGCCGGCTGAGGAGGCCGCAGAAGTCACGCCGGCTGAGGAGGTTGCGGAAGTCGCACCGGCGAAAGAGTCTGCGGTTCACGCCACGGGGGACGTGAAGTCTGAGCAGCCGGCGGCTGGGGAGGGTGCTGAGGGTGCTATTGTGCCCGCTGAAGCTGAGCTCCCAGTTGCTGCCGCTGGCGCCGGCGCTCTCTCAGCTGTCCCTCATCGTGTCACTCACGTCGTGTATGTTGTGGCGGAGCGAGCGCTGTTGCAGGAGCGGCACTATCTGGAAAAGGTGGAAGAAGTTCTTGCAGAATGCCTTGTGGCCCAGCGCGAGCTCCCACCTGAATCGGAAGATGACGGGACGCCCGTGTCCCCAGTGTCACCAGAGGAGGAAGAGGGGAAGGCTGTGGCGCTGCGGCCGCTGAAGCCGACCTGGTATACCAGGCCGAAGCGGCCGAACTTGCCTTTGCATGAGGGGATGAAGGGCGGGAGGCGGCTGCGGTACACTGCGCTAGGAGACGCCGTTGTGCGATGCGCGTGGAGCGGGAGCGTGTGATTTCTGTTCTTGTTTTTGTCTCTCTTCCTGTGCGTCTTGTAGCTTTGACGGCGCAATGTATCAGCATTTCCCCAGGCATAAGGGCTGGCGGCAGCGATGCTTCTCGTGCGTGTTCATTGTTTACGGCAATGTTGGGTGTATTGCGTGATTTTATTGGAGGTTTGTTTTGTTTGTTTTGTTTTTGTTTTTCTCGGCGTTATTTTTAAGTTTCGTGTTTTCTTTTCGTTGTTCCACTTCTTCTCTGGACATATGCGCTTGTCCTCTTGTATGTGTGGTGTGTGTGTGCTTTTTTCTTTTCTCTCTCTCTCTTGCCAACACGCCTCGCTGTTGGTGGTGGGCCGCCGCTGCGAGGGGGCACGGCGCGTGACTTCTGTGCCACGTTCTCCGGTGCAAAGAAAAGTTATTTCCCTTCGCGGTGGGTGGATGCCGCCACCGCAGCAGCAACTTTGGAACCAACGCCCACCCGTAGACGCTTGATTATTCCTCGTAGATAACATGTAAATATATATATATATATATACTTGTACCGTGTGCGTGTGTGTGTGTCGTTTTCGCCGTCCCCAACGTGTGTTTCTTTTCTCTCGTTGTGTGCGTGCGGGGCCCGCCGCGGGTGGGAGCCGTTGGCGGGGGAAATGGCATTCACCTGCGCATTTGCACGTCTCTTCCGTTCTCTGCTTCCTGCCGCATGCGGGCATTAGGTGTGCTTGTATTTGTTTTTTCTTACTTTGCTTTTTGTCTCGGGCGAGAACACGTCGGGACGCGCACAACTCACAGAAGCGACACCCGCCGCGGTTGGGAGGACACGCCGCCACGACTGACTGAGAGACGGGCGCCAAAGAGACCTCCCACAGGAGACAGCCCTTTTTTTTGTTTTTGTATTCCTCTCTCCCTCTTTGTTTGCGTGCCCTGCCGCGATGGAGGAGCCGACGGACGCCCCCGCCAGGGAGGCCGAAGGGCTGCAGCCACTCACCGCCGCGGAGGCGGCTGCGCCGTCGGACGCCGTGGCGCACGACGCCGGCGTGGGCGCTGAGACGCCCGCGTCCCCCGGGAACGCGGACGGCGATGACGTGGCGGTCGCGGCACTTGACGAGGAAGCGGCGGCGGCCGCGCCTGCCGAAGAGTCCGGCGACGGTGTGCGGCGGCAACGCGCGGCGCTGGAGACGGCCCCTGGCGGGGGCATCGTCGCCGAGGCAAACGCCGAGATGTCCCTCTCGACCGATGTGGTCACCTACGCGCGGGTGTACGAGACCCTGGAGGACGAGCGGGAGTGCTTGGCCGAGGTCGAGAGCGTTCTTCAGGAGGTGTACGAGGCGGAGAAGGCGCGGTACGAGATCGAGGGCAGCCTGAGCCCCGACACGACGGAGGAGGAGTCCGACGAGTCGGACGACTTCCTCTATTACGAGGAGTCAGACGACTCCGCTCTGCAAGGCATCGAGGATGAGGAGCTTGACCTCCCCGCTGCCTTGGAGACCCACGAGACGCCCGCGCTCACCGAACCCGCTAGTCCCGCATCGTCAGACGGCGATGGCAGGAGGGAGGTTTCGCAGGAGTCAAAGCAAAAGACGTACGGCCCGAAGAGGCCGCACATTTCTGTCAAGAAGGGCCCGGACGGTCGCCTGTACGCGCGCTTCATGCCGCTGACGGAGGCTGTCGTGCGCTCGGCCTGGGGCGAGGTGGTGCGGCGGCGGGACGCGCAGCTGGAGGCGGAGTTGCTGCCGGAGGACTGCCGGACGGTGCGGACCCGGCCGGGGGTTCGCACCGCCTCGGTGGCGGCGGCGGCGGCGGCAGCCCACCCCCGTTCGCCGTTGCCGCTTGCGCCTGCCCGGGCGCTCCCGCCCCCTGGCGAGTCGGCGCCCCGCACCGCCGCTCTCCCGCATCTCCAGCGCGCCGTGCGGCGCGCCCGCCTTGAGGCGTTGCAGAGGACGTGCGAGCGGATCAGGCCGGCGGCGGCTCGCACCCCCCCACCGGGCAGGGGCGCGGCGGAGGCCGTCGACGCGGTCACCACGCTGCCCTCCATCCTCGCCACGGCACGCCCCGCTGCGGCGAGGACGACGCAGGGTGCGGGGGCCTGCGCCACGCCTACGTCGTCGCTGAGTTACGCGTCTGGCTGGGATGTTCTGCCGCGTGCGTGGAGGACGGTGCTGCCAAGGCTTGGCGGCGCCACAGCCCCCACCCCTCACGCGCAAGGAAATGTAAAGCTGGATGCCAAACCAGCGTGCGACCCGGGCGCAATGGCCTCTGCGGCAGCAGTATCTGCCGTACAGCTCGATGTGAAGAATAACTTGGCCGCAGAGCAGCCCAGGACAGACAGGCGGTCCACTTCAGTTGTGACCCTGCCTCGCATGTCAGACGCCGGTGATCTTGCCCTGCCCGCCGTTATAAACGCTTCTCCCTATTCCCCTGCGCGAAAACAAGAGGCCGCTGCTTCAAGTGCGCCTCTCATGCAAATTAGCCCCGCTTTTTCGCAAAGCCGAACCTTTAGACGGGGCTCTTATTCGGTTCCACGACCCTCTTTACCTCCCTCCCTCCTCACCACTGGCGGGGGCAGGCTTTCGTGCTCGTTGCCCATGTACTCAGCGGCAGAGCAGACCCTAGAGGAGACGCGGGATCGCCTAGAACGCGTCCAAGACATCATTGAGGATGTCTACGATGAGTATATCAATTCCAAGGCCGATGTTCATGAAATGTAGCTCTTTGGCGAGGACTGACGTCATCACCGGCGGACTGAATGCGGTTGACCAGCTGTTATTACTATTATTATTTTTGTTTTTGTTTTCCGGGGTTTAATTTCTGATCGTTTTCTTTTTCGTTTTCTTCATTTGGTCATGATGTAAACCCTTTTCCTTCGCCGCAGCGAACTTCGTCTTTTGGTTGCTGTGGGCGACGGTAGACGTTCCTCTTTACAGTTTACTCCCCCCGCCCCCCGCCTGTCCCTCGTTTTTTCTTTTCTTTATTTTCACACGGTGTGCGTGTGTGTGTGTGCGGCTCTCGTAAGACGTGCGTTTTCTCCTCTGGAGGTTTGTCTTCCGTCCTTCCCCCTTCCCACGCGTGTGCGGGTGTGCGGGGGAGGTGCCTTTTTCCGCTGCCACTCACGCGTTGGCTGCGCCGTCCCACTGGCTCCCCTCCGGTCTCTTTTTTTCTTCTCCGCCCCCTGCGCGCATCGTGCCACCCGCACGATGTCGGTAACGCCGCAGTGTAATTTGCGGGGGCGGAGGAGGTGGTGGTGGTAACTGGTGGCCGGCGAGGAGCCGGTTGAAACAACAAAATAAAAAAAAAGAAGACTCAACAACAACAACAACAACAACAGCGAGGTCTGGAGTGTATATAAAATGTAAAGAGATGTAATGCCAATTTTCCTTTTCTTCTTTTTCGTGCTTCTTTTGCCTGCATGTATGCCTTTACGTCCACGGCCAGCAACGTCTAGCTACCGCGCACTATGGACACTATCCTGCTATATCTACCTGCCACCGCGAGTGCGTGTGTCTTTCCCTTTCTCTCTCTTTGTGTGTGCGTTGGTTCTTACTTCTTTTTTTTGGATGCACGCTTAATGCCTCTTCGCCTCCTCACTGCGAGGTGTTCTCCGCCCACTCGCCTCCCCGTCGTATGGCGCGCTGCTGTGCGTATATATATATATTTGCTTGTGTGTATGTGCTGCTCTGGCGCCTGCGCTTCGTGCGAGACAAGAGTTTGTGCTTTATTCCTTCTTTTTTTCCCCCTTTATTCGCATTGCCACGGGCGTCTGGGAAACTCTTTTTGCGGCTGAGCGGAACAGGCGAAGTAACCTTCTCAGCGTCTACGCGACTCCGCGGTCCACTGAAGGGGTTCCACGGGAGACGGCCCTTTTTTCCCCCTCTCCCTCTTTGTTTGCGTGTCCTGCCGCGATGGAGGAGCCGACGGACGCCCCCGCCAGGGAGGCCGAAGGGCTGCAGCCACTCGCCGCCGCGGAGGCGGCTGCGCCGTCGGACGCCGCGGCGCGCCCTTGTCGTGTGTCGGTGCCGCTGAGACGCCCGCGTCGCGGTCCCTCGCCGGAGGACGTGTCCAGTGGGACGCGCCACGCCGCGGAGACCGGCGCCATGGGCGTGCTGGCAGGGCGGGAGCGACTCCCCGCCGTGTGCCGTAACCCGGCGGTGGGGCGCCTGCAGTACAGCAGGGCGGGGGACGCCGTGGTGCGCTCCGCGTGGGGCACCGTGCGCAGCCCAACAGGCACGGCGGCGGCTGCCGCTGCGTCGTCGTCTGCGCCGCGCACCACCGCGGCAAAGACAAGGCCGTCGACGACGCGGTGCCCGTCGTGGGGGAAGTTCGCGTTGCGGCAGGAACAGCATCTTGCGCCCATAAAGCAGGTCGCAAACACCGCCACGGCCGCACCCTGCGTCACCGCGACGAAGCCACCGGCGCCATCAAGCAGGAGGAACTCTCCAGAGCTGATCGTGTCGCCGAGCAAACACGCCTTGTTTGATCGGGCCTACGAGGGACTCCTGCGAGAGCGCACAATCCTCGAGAGGATAAGCGCAATTGTGGAAGAGGTGCGGAACGCGGCGATCTCCGACGCTGCAGCGGCTGCCGAGGCGAGTAACGAGCTGCACATTATGTACAACCCCCTCGCAGACGCCACCGCCCCTCCGTGGACAAAAGAGGACACGAGCGTTTCGGCGGAAGTCGCGACGCTGACTTTTCCTGCGCTGCCGAGCATTGCTCGGCCACAGACGGCGTGCTGCAACGGCAAGAATCGTTCAAGCGTGCGCTGTGGTTGCCCCGCGTCGGCGCCGCGTCCACAGCTGAGCCTAGCGGCACTGCTGCGGGAGCAACGTGGCTCTCTGGGCATACCAGAAGAGCCCTCCATAAGCGAGGCAGAACATGGAACGCTTCTCCCCTGTGTGACCCGACCCGCAAATAACCCACAGGCATAGTGAAGGGGCTACGGGCGTCGAAAGGGTTCCAGGTTGTGACGCAGCACCTGCGGGAAGTAAAGAACTGCAGCCAGAGGCGAGGGAGAGGGCGGTAGCCAACCCGCTCGGCGGCTCGCCACGTGTCGAGTGCACCGACATGCGGGAGGCCGGGTGCGGGTCGCGCGCCGCGAAGGAAGTGCCTGCGCACGATGGGGCAGCTGCCGCCGCCGTGCGCGCGCCACCCGAGGAGGATCTCCAACGCGTGGTGGAGGCGACGCTGATGGAGGAGCATGCGTGTCTTGAGGGGCTAGAGGAGGCATTGAGGGAGGCGCGTCAGGTGCAGCTTTTGCTGCGTCAGGCGGAGTGTGAAGGCTCCGCACCGCCTGAGGATGGAACGGGGCCCACAAACGCTGCCGTGCCCCACGTGCAGGCGGGTGCGCACGCACACACACGGCCTGCGGGGAGCAGGGCGCGGCAGTGACGTCTGCAAGGGAGGCCTCGTCGG